AAATCTATCCTACAAACTTCCTACACATAGCAGGGATAAAAGAGTTATAAAAGCGGTTCGTGCGTGTAACGTACATATTAAAATACCGATTCGTCCTGAAAGAATAATCAGTCTCGTTCTTCGGGGGCAGCAGATGATGAAGTTTATGCATTGGATCCTTGATGATACTCGTAAAGAGTTTGTCACACATGTCCTCTCTTCTTTGAAATAGAGTAGGCAGTCTATAATACTCAAGGGCCTCACAATATGTCATTTCAGGAGATAAAATTTTTAGCGCACGTTTCTGGACAGTCTCAAGTTCGTCTGCCAAATACTTTGGGATGGAATGATGGAAGGCTTGCGCACAATACTCGAGCACAGGCCTGATCACTGTACAATAAAAGTTCAAGACATCATTGACATTTACGCTTGCCCGTTTCAATAGTACTATAAAATAGAGGCGTTTATTAGCTTTCTTTATACTCTCTCTGATGTTATCTTTCCACTGAAGTGTGCCTGTCATAACAAGACCCAATATTTTTGCACTCTCAACTATAGGCAATGCTTCTCCACCCACCAGTACAGGATCAAAATGTTGTTTAATTCTTTTAAAATCGATTCTCAGTTCTTTACATTTCTCAGTGTTAAGAGATAGCCCATTTGCCTTCGACCAATCTTCCACAACATCAACTGCGACTTGAACACGGCTCTCTGTGTCTTTACTAACTACTTCAGCAACTGTTGTGTCATCAACAAACTTCCACCTCGATATATCACAAATATCAAGATCGTTTATCATTAAACAAAATAGCCAGGGCCCTAATTTTGTACCTTGAGGGATACCGGAAAGTACATCTCCCCACTCCGAATAACAGTCATTGGATAATTTCACTCTGTGCTTTCGATTCATCAAAAAATCGATTGTCCAGCGAGCAACCGCACGTGGAATAGCTAAATTGGAAATTTTATCAGCCAGTAAAGCATGATCGATAAGGTCGAGTGCTTTTCTATAATCGAACAGGATGACTCTGACAGCAGAGCCAGTGCCATCAGTAACTTGCGACCATTCATGGATCATAGATATAACAGCGAGAGTAGTTGAACTTCTTGGTATTACTCCATATTGACTTGGATCGATTATACTCATGATAGCTGGGGCAATGTATTTTTTAACAACACAGTCCTCGGCGATTTTCGAAATAGCGGCAGTAAGTGAAATTGGTCGTAACTGCTTACAAATGTCGCTAACGGGCTTAGTTTTTATGAGGGGCACAATGTTGGCAAGCTTCCAAGATTTAGGTAGTTGTTGTTCGGCATAGCTGCTGTTTAGCACAGCGCATACTGGCTGTGCAAGGATTTCAGCATATTCCTTAAGAGCCCAATTGGGAATTTCGTCAGGACCTGACGCCTTTCCACGATTAATTGCTTTCAGTAAATGAAAGACTTCCAATTCGTTCACTTGAAAAGAGGAATAATTATCAAAGGGGGGAAGGGTTGACAGTGGATTGAAGGAGTTCATGGGCTCCAAAAAGGCGTTATTAATTAAATTCGCAATGTCAGGACGTTGCATATTCTCGATATCGTCTAAATGAAGTTGACTACATAGGTCATCGGAGCCGGTTGTAGGTACCATACCAGCAATCTGCTTCACCTCCTTCCACCATCTCTTCGGTTTGGTCGATTTAAGATTCTTTACTTTTGAAGAGTAGAATTTCGCCCGGCATGTCTTTCGCTCGCGGTTAACCCGATTCCGGTAATACTTGAACTGAAAGGTATTTCCACCGCAGAAGGCAGCTTGACGCTTCCTTATAAGCTCTTTAAATTCTGCAGTAATCCATGGAGGATCGTGTACATGCAAAGCCGTTTTCTTTATTGGCATAATGGTGGTAATACCGAGACGTACTAACTCTTCGAAATACTGGAGTTTCATTTCGCATGTGTCAAAATGATTCAGAGAGGACCAATCGATAGATGTAAGGTATCTTCCAAGCTCATGCCTTTTACTAGATCGTAAATCTCTACTAGAGATAATTCTTCTACTGCATGACTTGGGTTCTCTTTTGCAAGGATTGACAATCACAACATTATGATCTGAAAGACCAAATGGCGGAAATTTTTCGACAGAGTTCTTATCATAAAACGAATGTAAGTTGGTTATTATTAGATCCAAAGTCTGGTTGGCCCTTGTGGAAACGTTAACAATCTGTTTGCAACTGAACTGTGTTAATATCCGATTGCATTTTAACCGATTAAAGTCGCCTGCAAGAATAAACCCACAGCCAGGATAAGTGCTTTCAATAGTAATCAGTGATGTGGAGAGAAATTGGAGCATTTCATCATCATTAGTATTAGGTGGATGGTAAACGACACCAAGTATCAAGCAGGAAAACCCGCGGGGAAGTCTACTTGGACGAACATAGACCCACAGAACTTCGTAATCTATATGGTGGAGATGATTCAGAGGCTTATAAAATATCGTGTTCCTGATGTACACCCCAACCCCTCCGTGGGAGCCCACACTGCGGTTTTTATGAACAAAATTGTAACCTGGAATATCGAGGCAGGAATCTGAGATACGGTCATTTAGCCATGTTTCCGTTATACAGGCAAGGTCAGGACTCTTTTCTGTGACAAAACAACTCACTTCTTCAATGAGAGCAGAAACCGCTTGAGATAACGAATTTTTTTCTCAGAATAATATGAAACTATAGTTTTTTATATCCCTGATGGTGGTTCTGAAATATGTTTGTAGACAATGCAGTAACTCAAAATTAATGTTAGCGCACTTCTAAATAGTTGAAAAACTTAAACAATGGGCTAGCTAAGATCAAATTCTGGATCAAAAGTTATCTGTGTGTGTGAAAATGGAAAAATTGCGCCGCGTTGTCGAATCCCGTTCGTTGTGTGGCCTTAAGCATGCTTTGATTCAATTAAAGTTTGCTTTTGAGATTTATCTCTAATTCTCTACGCTTTGTCAGCATTATATATCTGTCGATCCTTCGCCAAACTACCCAAATATTACGATCATTACGATTCTTCGTGCATTATTATCATTATTTAATAAAATCTTTACTTCACCACGCTATCCTCATCATGATCCAATGGATGCTTTTCATGAGGCGTCACACTAATTACAAGAATTAAGCACGTTTTTATATATAATAGTAAAACTAATCTAAAATATACATGCAAATACATTAGTCCAAAATACGCGACGCCTGACTCAGCAGCGCCTGTTAGCTATTTGAAGCTCAGTTTTCTAAGTAAAATTTGATGATCAACCGTATTAAATGCCTTCTTTAAATCAATAAATATTCCACAGGAGAAAAAGCCCTTATCCATATTTGTTTGTATTACATTAACGATGTCAAGAATTGCATGCTGAGTTGAATGAGCTTTTCGCGAAAGCCGTATTGAGATGAACAAAAAATATTCTTTTCTAAAACAAAACTTTCTATTCTATTACATACGATTTTTTCGAAAATCCTATTGAAATTGGATAATAATGAATAATTTGGATCTACTGCATCGTCTGATTTAAAAATTGGTATCACTTTTGCCAATTTTAATTTTCCAGGGTATTCTCCTGCTACAATGGACCTATTAAAAATTTCCGCAAGAAAATTATCAATTTTATCGCTCGCCAATTTTAATAGTTTAGTTGGACTAGAGTACAGGCGATAAGATTTATCATTCGGGATAGAAAGAATTTCAAGTTTCACTTCAGCAGCTAAGATGGATTAAAAATTAAAAGAACATTCAGGTGATTTTGATTTTGACAGGAAATCACTAAAATGTTTTTCAGATTGAGGAAGTTGATTTGCTAATTTTGGTCCCACTGTTGCAAAATGCTCATTTAAAATATTTGATATTAGAGAAGCGTCTCTGGTAATTTTGTTTTCATTTTCCGGATTTTGAATTTAATCAGTTTGTTTATCGTTTACTTTTTTACGTTTTAGAAAATTATTTATCACTTCCCAAGTTTTTTTCATATTTATTAAATTACTTTCGAAAAACTCGTGATAATATTGCCTTTTGCTTAATCGTGTTAGTCTGCAAATTTTGTTTCTGTACAAATTATACTGGGCTCTAATTAATTATACTGGGCTCTAGTTAATTGTTTACGATTTTATTAAATTTATTATAAAATGAAGAGAACGATTGATTTACATCATCACAATGACTAACAGTTTCATCCCAGTCTACTTGCGACAGGTCATGATGAAAACTATCGGAAGGAATTGCGAATATCCCGAGTGTTTTTGTTAGGAAATATTCGTTTATCTCTGGAAGATTTTATTATACAAAACTGAGAGTGGTCTGAAAATATCGGATATTATATTTCCACTAGCTATTACTTGGTCAGGATTATTTACCAATATGTAATCAATCAGACCCACCCTTAGGAACACATAAATTTGATTTAACTATACCTCGGAAATTTTGACAACAACCAAAACATCTACTCTGCATGCTATCTAAATTTGCTATTAAATAAACGCAATTCTTTATGAATCGTTTACTGCATTAAGATTTTAGAAGACGGGGACTAAATAGAGCTAGGTGGGGGCTTGCAAAATAGAGGAATTCGAAATACGGTTTTACCACTTAAAAGAAGCCGGTAGTTACAAATAGCTTAGCCTAAATTTTTACTATTATTTCTAATGTTTCAAAGTCTCGCAACTATGTGCTTCTGCGACCCATGATCATGCATCTCGGCTTCTTCTGTGGCTGTAAATATTCAATTATCTCTATCTTAAATATTTTAAGTGCATTAATCCATTTATAATTTATATCTTTCTAACTTTTTGTAAATAGTCTGAAACTATAGTATGTATGAAATAGTTATGTTTGGTTTGACAATGACCCTGAAACATGCAGAGACAAAATATCACCACCATAATACAAAGTCTTGTTTTCTTTAAATAACTAATATCTTGAGTTTACAAGATGGCATTGTTATTCGGGTATGTTTTTTTATAATGCTATGTAACGTTCTTTAGGTATTGGCAGATGGCGAAATGCAGAATAACATTGAACAAGGCTCGGACGAAAAAGAGCGTGCAGTTCAGGCGAGTAAAAAAATCTTGCAAATGGTCGTCACGAACTGGAAAACATATACTCCAAAGCGGCACATGCGCAAACGGCTCAAGAATTATCAAGAGCAACAATTGAAGGAAATTCCTGGGGCTTCCAAAAAGACTGGTACCGTCATGCATGCGGCGCTGACCACTGAGATCGACAGCGAAGATTATAAAGTGGACGGGCGAACCATGGAGACGGGAATGCGTGTTCGAAATCACGCATTAATACATTACATCGCGAAGTTGGCCGTCTCCAATCACGATAATGATACTTTTGATTTCGAATTCGTTCAGAGTTTGCTCAAGAACGGTGCGGATATAAATGCGACTGATAAATACGGTCAGACTGTGTTTCATGAAGTAGCCAGATCGTGGCACGCTGATGTCGCCGAGTTTTTGATAACAAATGGTAAGGTAGTGAATCCTACTGGTACTAAACACCTGGGGCCGGTTGTATAAAAAAGTGATTAAAGTTAACTATAGTTAGTGGAAACGTCATCCAATAAGAAGCGCGTATTTGAGAGTTAATCGCTATTTAACTACAAAATAGTGATTAAAAAGTGATTAAGTGTTTTATACAACCGGCCCCAGATGTGACATGTTTTCACTTGTTACTCTGAACCTGCAATACGCTTATTACAATCGAAGCATTAAAATTTTTAGTAAGATGCCCAAAATCTTGTAGTGGAGTCTGTATTTATTTTTTTTCTCACAGGTGCCAACATGAACCAGCAAGACAAATATGGTCGTGCACCACTGCACGTCGCTGCCGCAGTTGATTACGTTGAGATGGTCGAGTTCCTGGTCACCAAGGGAGCTGATGTTAATATACGTACCACTGGTGAAGAACAAACACCCATCCATTTTGCAGCCAAGAATGACGCTTGTAAAAGTTTGAAGGCTTTGATCGCTTATGGAGTGGACGTTAGTTGTAGAGATTATCACGAGAGGACACCTCTACAGGTTGCGCATTGTTTCTGCTTCAGTTTTACCTTATATCTAAACCTGGTTACTTTTGGCACTATATACCATCGGTTATTTTTGCATGGTATACTCTTTCCCTCTGGAAAATGATGGCTCACATCTCCTAAGGCCAGAATCTGATATTTAGTTCTCTAAATATGTGGCTGAATGGGAAGTTCCAAGACTTATTCAAAACTCATTAATAATTCATGAGGAAAACACAAAGAAAAATCATAAGCGTGTCGTATCTTTATATGTGATACAGATTTCCCTTGATTTACATAAACTTTAACTTTGATTTTCTCGACTTACACAACGAATTTTTTGAAAATTACTTCGCCAATGAAGTTACTAGATCGATCGTTTTTGAAGCGATTTAAAACATTCGCAAAGGCCGCAGTGCGATCAGACATAAAGATACTTGGCTTCGCCTCGTATCTTTATATCTGATAAAACACTGCTGCTCATGTTTTAAATTGACATAAAATGAGCAGAGTTCTAAAAGTGGGTTTAGTCCAAAAGCTTTAGGGAAGATGTGGAATTAACAAACCCGAAACGTGACCAAGCAGCCTATATTATAAAATTATAGATTTTCAAAAGTGAGTATTTATCGATCACGGGAAGATGCGCGGCCAGGATTATACATAATAACGTTCTCTGGCTAGATATTTTTATTTACGAGCTTTCAGCGCTATCAGATCGATAGCCTTCAACACGTAAACGAATCTAAATTACAGTGATAAGAATGTATGTAACAACATATATAACACAGGAATAGCGCAGGCGATTAATTAATAGAAACATCTAGTTACTAGTGTTATTGTTTTTGAAGAAAATAGAATATTGTTGCGGAAATGGTTTCGAGTTATTAACAATAGCATGCAGTGCGTCATGATTCTAAAGTTTTTCTAATGCTCTTATTTCTTTTATCGATAATATGCCCGTTATCAAAGTCGATTCTATACGAGCAATTACTCCATGCATGTTTGGCTACGTTTGAATTTTTTTCATAGTTCTTAACATCCCAAATGTGTTATTTCTTCCATGTTTCGAATGAATGTTTTGCCAATGTAGTCCCATAGGCAATCTCCGCAATTCAGTTGATAAACTACATTAGTTTTATTTATCTCGGGAACTCCGTATTTGGATGAAGGGAACAGTTGTTTTAGGGTTCGTATAGGTTTATTGTAACTCTGATGTCGTATTTTTGTCGAATTCATATGTGAGCGGTTCTGTGATCTCTCGTATGCATGGTAAAACTGCATACGGGCTAAGTGAGGTTTGTGATTCAACTAGTCTGTGGAGTTCTACTTATCTGACGAGTTCTTCCCGCGGCTATAATCAGGTAGCTTTGACTTTTCAGTTTTTGCTATAATCTCTTTGGGGATACCGTTGTGCTTCAGTTCCGTCGTTCTAGCTGTCTTCTGTGTTGCTTAGTTCTTGTCATAATGAGATTTGTATTTGAGATATCTGTCAGTATGGGTTTTTTTATATGAACTGTGACGTAGATTTTGTTGTTTCGTCGGATGGTTAATATGTCAAGGAAAAGTAGTTCTTCATGTTCGACTGTGAATGATATATTTTGGGTCAATAGAGTTAAATGTATAGTGAAATTTGTTTACAGAGATGTTGCTCTTTCTATCGCTTGTTTTTCAATTTCCTTTGTACACAAGTCAGCAACCACCAGACGGATGGGGCTAGCCGTAAAATTCATTGAGGAGATTTCCCATGCATGGAACTACATTGGTAAAAAAGAACGTTCATTCGAAACAAAAGAGAAAGAACACATTTGTGATGTTAAATATTATGAAAAAAAGTTCAAACATAACCAAACATACATGGATCAACACCTTTGATGACAGGAATATTATCGACACAAGAAATAAGAGGAATAGAATAAAATTGAGAATTGGTTATAAAATTGAGAATGGTTACCCACGGCATTTCATAGATAATGCTATGAAAACGCCACAAAGTATACAGCAGAAGATTGAGTATCAGTCGTCTGTTTGTCTACCATACATTGGCCCGGCTTCACACAAAATCGAAAGAATTTTGAGGAATGAAGCAGGTATAAAGGTATACCATTCCAGCGAAAACAAATTGTTTCGAGCTCTTTGCACACATAAGGACAATGTAAATGAATCTCAGAAACCTGGTGTGTACCGCATTCCTTGTGAATGTGGTCTGGTTTACATTGGTGAAACTGGTCGAAATCTCTCGGTACGTCTTAAGGAACACAAGACGAATTGCGAGAAAGCCGAGCAAGATAAATCTGCTGTGGCTAAACATACTTGGACTTACGACCATCGTATAAAATGGGACGAAGCAACCATTCTGGCGATTGATAGTCACAAGTTCTCTCGCAAAATGAGAGAGTCAATTGAAATTGAGAAGCACAATACTATAGATCAGGAGGGAAAGCCACTAGATAGTACGTGGCGTGCTCTCTTTAATGTGCAAAATTAATTTCTCTTGTCTTGGATGCGCGCGCGTTAATTGGAATCACTTCACTACGTTTGGAATGACGTGGTTGATGTGCCGTTTAATTAAATTTCAAATGACGCGAGCCAACAGATCACGACACTTTTGTATATAAAAGAGCGTGTGAATTAAACAAGTCACATATTATTAGCACTGATGAAGATCCGGGCTTACGGATCGAAAGCTTTGCAGTAATAAATTTACGTGGTGTTTTCACAAACAAAACCTATTATATTTTATCACCATGCAAACATACAAAGAACTTATTAGGAATAGAATAACTTTAGAATCATGGCACACTGTAACGACGCAGACAAATAACTCAAAACTACTTCAACAATACTCTGTTATCTTGCTATTCTTGTATTATATATATTGCTATATTCTTATCACTGTAAATTATATTCTTTCACCTGTTTTAGGTTATAGATCGCCTAAGATCGGATAGCCGAAAGCTCGTAAATAAACATATCTAGCCAGAGAACGTTGTGATGCACAAATCAAATTTCACTCCCAAAACGCAGAAATATTTCTCATTCTGGACTTCCACAATTTAAAATGTGCTGCAAAAACATGCCCCAGAACGCACACACAATACTCACTAGCCTTTCAGGTATCCAATAATATGAATATAAACAGCCGTACTTTACGCTGATGATTCAAAGGTATACCAAAGTGCGTAAGATTCTTGGTTTCCTGCTACAATAAATCGAAAAAGGGGAAGGCCCTTATTGGAATTTAAGAGGAACAGTTTAGTTAAAAAAGCTAGTTTGATTTTTCTTCTAATTTTATGCCTTTTCAATTCCTAGCTCGCTGCAGCGATGAGTAGATCAAAAGCTGCTCGAGAGTTGATCGACCTTGGTGTCCCGGCAGGCGTCTACGACAAGGATGGGGAGATGGCCGTCTCTTTGCTCGTTATTAAAATGCCAGATGTCGCCAAACTTGCTTTGGATCAGTTTTACTCCGAGGATCACATCAACAACAAGCGATATTACTTCCTGAACTATTTGGAAGGCAGCCGTGTGGTTAATGGGCGATCCTCAGCCCGCACCCCCCTGGAAGCTGCTGTGGTCAGCAATAGCGTAAATATAATCATGCATCCCGTTATGCAATGCCTGATTGTGACGAAGTGGGAAAGGTTTGGTCGGCGTTGGGCGTGGTTTGAATTCGTCTTGACCATGGTCTCTGCAATAATCTGGACCACTATGGGTGTGACCTTACCTTTAGATCATAACTCATTGTATAATCCACCTCGTGAAAAGTGGTGGCGAATGGTTTTAGCTTGCATAGCACTCCTGCTAACTTTCTACGAATTGCTAAGGCAGGTTGTTATGACAATCCGCACCAATCGTTCCCTAATACAATGGAAGAATTATCGCGAGAAATCGTTGTCGCGTGATAAACCCTACTGTCATCCGCAATGGCCCGACGAAGCAAAGTACGTTGACAGTGAAATAAAGAGCGTCCACGAGCACCGTTGGCTTGCAACGCACGATCGTTGGGTATACATGGACTGGTTGGCACTTTCCCTCATCGTTGCCTCGGCAATTTCCCACGTGGTGTTCTTCTGGCAAGGCACGCAGGAGGCACACACTGTTCACGTGCGTATTATGTGCGCGCTCTTGATTATCATCTGGGTGCGTATACTGAAATTCGTGCGACCGTTTCAAGGCACTGGTGCATTTGTGGCGTCCTTCACCAGGATGCTGGGTGATATCTTGCTCTCTTTGTTCTTGATCGTCATTATATTTCTGCCTTATGGCTCGTGTTTTTGGATCCTGTTTGGTGGACTCAGTCCATCTCCTGCAGTAGGTTTCAGAACGATGCCTGTGGTTCTATATGAGGTAAGTCAGCACGCAATATGCAATTATATTGTGATCAGACCCCCAACTGGACATGAAATTTTAACAATGGGGAGCTCAGTCCTCCTGAATTTGAGAGGTGCGCCAACAAGATTTTATGTTTTTAAAAACACTTCTCATCGCAAAAACGCGACATAGAGAAAAAAATGCCCTTTAAAAGAAAATGTATTATGTCGGGACATAGGAAACTGTCCACAATAGAGAGGTGCGTCTATTGGAGAGGTCTGGGTGTACACCGTTGAATAATTGTATTTACCATGCATACTATTACTTATTTCTTGTTGTTATATCTAGGTGTTCCAGATGACTGTATTAGACACTAACCACAGCATAGAAGAATTCTTGAAAGTGGATCCTTTCATGGCTAGATTGTTATCATGTAGCTATGTCTTCATCTCATTCGTAATCGTCCTCAACTTAATCATAGCAATGATCACAGATACTTTCAAACGCGTGTTCAGTCAGGCGCAAGAGCACGCCGCGATGGAACGAGCCAAGACTATCTTAAACATAGAAGATTCCATGCGCGAGAAGTCTAGGAAGCTTTATTGGGAATATATTCGTGATCAGTGTAGTCCGCTGACTATGAGTCGTCTGAATAGACATGGTAGAACAATATTTTCAGAAAAGGTATTGTATTTTTGTTGCCTATTAATTATCGCCCATAACCTTTGAATATATTTATGATTCACAATAGTAGTACATAACTGAGTAAAGGTAATGGCTAAAATGGATGGACGAGGAGGTTTTTAAAATAGTTCAATAATATTAAGGTTACTTCACACGATGAACGTGCGTTTTAGTCTATTGGAATTGCGCAACGAATTTTAGGTGTATAACTTTACCAAATTTCCAGTGAAGAAAGCCAGGAAAATGCTGATTTCGAAAATTTTTTTTGATGGGTGTTCAGTATAAACATTTTCAGTATTGGCTGACTGAATAAATATATAGGTACCTTCATAAAAAGATCAAAATATGTTTATAGTTTACCTCAACGTTTGTCTAGATATCGCAATTCGAATCTTAATAGGCACGGTAAAAAATATGTGTGCGGAAAATTTCTCTTCTTTAGTGGTCTTTAGTGGTTTTTCTGATATGCCCTGATTTTACATTGAGTTATTGGCAATAATAATATGACCTAGCTCATCTTAACTGAATATGCATGCGTATAGAATGTGCATGCTGACATACACAGAATACCGCTAAATTATAACGTTTTTTAAACTTTTGGCAACGATTTTCATTTATTGCTTGTTGGAGGGGTTATAAAGGTACACTAAAGCAAAACAAAAGCGCATGAAAATCCTTGACTGAGCCCACAATGTCATGCAATGAATACGTAGCAACATGAACATTTTTCAGTGCAATCTTGCTGAAAATGTCCCGGCTAAAAAATCATAATAAAATAAAGGGACGAACCCTGATATATGCAGTATATGAAAAAAGAAACATAACACAATGACTTCTGTTTAGTTTTGAGAAAGAAGTTAATAATAAGATTTCTATAATACTTTTTGTTTCTGGAAACACCACGTAAATTTATTACTGCAAGGCTTTCGATCCGTAAGCCTAGATCTTCATCAGTGCTAATATATTCGTCATCGCGAGACAGGCTAATTCACACGTCCTTTAATTTTATATACCAAAGTGTCGTGATCTGTTGCGTCATTTGAAATAGCATTTAATTTTTTGTCTCTGTAATCCAGACCATTCGAAATAATGAAGAGAATGTTTGCATGTCGACTTGTGTCTTAGCCCGGGTTTACACTATGACGCTACGGCTCACCAGGCCCGTAGCTGGGGGGGAGGGGGCTGGGGGGGGCAGTGCCAAGAGCACAAGTATAGTACTTTTACAGTGTAGAAGAATGTTCCGTTCGATCCCAATTTTTCTGAGCTGGAAAGGAAAACTAGCTGCTAGCACGAAAGTCAAAATCATCCCAACCCCTCTGTTACATTCTTTCTGCAGTGCCCCCCCCCCCAGAAATTGAGAGCCAGCTACGGGCTTGCGGCTCACACTCCGTTAAATATTTACTACGTTTCTAGTGTTGAGACTGTATTGTATTTACACTATAACGGAGTTGTTTGTCGTAGCGTACTAACGATGGACCACTACATTTGCCACTCTGAATACAAATCAATTTCGTTAAAAATTCACTACGTTTCTTAGTATTGTGTTTACACTATAACGGAGTGGTTTGCTGTAGCGTATTAACTACAGACCACTACGTTTGGCACTCCGGATGCAAATCACTACGAGTACTACGCTACGGTAAATTTTCCGTGGCGTCATGGTGTAAACGCGCCCTAATTAAAAATTCGTGAAATTGAGATGCGCGTCTTGTGTTATACTTCCACGCGAATTTCCATATTATTTACGAAACGTATATATTTATTTCAGGTAAACATGAACGATCGAATCCGAGAAACGCATCAGCTTGTTGAAGCACGCTTCGGAAAACAGTTTGGAGAAAATAAAAAGTCTACTATGGAGGATATGATTAAATTTGCGAATGAAATCGTCACGAATTACTCAGAATCAAAAAAGATGTTAGAAACAGTTTTTCTAGAGTTGAGATTATTAGAAGAGCTGATATTTCCTAAGACCATGGTTGTAGACCAATTTCCCGAGAATGCAGTGGTGGACATAGATGCGAAATCTAGGAATCTCATTCCATCGGACGATCAATTCAATTCTGGAAGTGATACTGGGTTGAACCGTACACAACCAATTGAAGCATCTGTAAAACAAAGATATTCGACCAAAAGCGAACCAGGGGACATAATTATGCAACGGATGAAACAGAAACACAAGTCAATGAGCAAGTCCGCAAGTCAGATAGGAGGTCGCGACAAGTTGAAGAAAGATCGCGGTGCGGTAAAGAAGAGGTCGAAAGGTAAGCACGTACAGTTTTAAGTTCGAACTCCTTATTTGCGCTGCTCTGTATAACTCTGTATCAAAATAATGTACATTTTAGAACAATTTTTGTGCGAATTTCAAATCATCATGATCTATTGAGTAAGAGTATGCGAAATTATTATGCAAGACTTGTTGCGATTCTTCCAAAACAGGACTATTAATGTGTATTCAATCAACCGCTAAGCAGAGGTTTAGTAACTCTTTGAACAACTTGCGCTTATAGCAGGGTATAAAATTATCTGAAAATTCAAATTAGTTATCTCTGAAACAACAGCATAGAAACTCAGGCTAGGGTGATCTAAAATTATTAACTGCATGGGTTCTGCGGTGTCGGGTTTCAGATGGTGATATGATTTTAGCATGGTGATAATTTTTCAACGTCTTAAGCGAGTTCCAAGTTCACAAGTCTGAATGCCTCATTTGTATTGTGGTATATTCCATACATTTTTCATGTGTACTATTAACAGGTATAGGCATGTTTTCTCGTGTAATTTGGATGAGACGAGCACTCGCATGTTTTTGAAAGACGTCAAGTAGCACTAGTCCTTCGGACTGTTCAATTTTTATCGTTTTTGAAAAACTCACCAATTGCATTCGAAAAAATAATATTACTTATCAAACTGCAGGAAGGGAAGAGGAATACCAAGAGAGATATGAAGAGAATGCAGATGAAGAGAGCGATGTTGTTCGAAGGAGGAAAAGTAGAAGCAAGTCTGCTGGAAACATCGGTAGAATTAGACCAAAAGAAAGACACCGCAGTAAATCTTTCTCCACCAAAGACATTTCACGGAAGAAACACACGAGCACTCGTGATTATGATGATTAATATAGATATTGTATTTTCATTGTTACACTGCAAAACATTGATGAGTAAATTAATGCAACCACAGTGACTCAAGATTATGAGTAAATTACTCATATTTATAAGAAAATTTACTACAAAATTAATAATTGAAATTTACTCATTTTTGGAGAAACGTTTTCAAGTAACTATATGGGTGCATTACTTCACTCAAGTTTGAGTTAAATTTTTTTGCAATCAGAAAACTCTTCAAGGTGTATGCAAAAGAGAATTAACTTTTTAAGGTAACTTCTCAGCCCATTTAATTACCGCACGTATCCAAGAATCAGGGGGTTTCTGGTCAGTATAGAACACTTCAAAAACCTATTAACATTTCATGTAAATTTATAGTGCCAACTATAAGAATTGCCACCTACGTGCTGATGGTAGGGAAGAATTGTATTAAGAGATTAAATAAATAATTTTCAAAAATTTACCTTCTAAAATTTAACTAGGGCTCCTGTACGATTAGGTTATTAGTATTTTTGCACAGGTGAACATAACAAATCCTACAAGTTGATTGGTCAAATTTGACGTATTAAGCTGTTATTCACCTACAGGTGAATATAACAAAACCAAAATTTTCAAAATGGCGGCTGGCCGTTCTGTGTAAGTTATTGATAAAGAAATAAGCGAAATTAAAATAAATTCAGTCCGAAAAAACACAAAAGACTTGTGTAAAAATACTAAAACAATTATTCGCCTCAGGCTAGGTGATTATCGGGGAATATTCACCTCGACTTCGTTTCGGCGAATATTCCCCGATAATCATCACAATTGTTAAATAATTTCTTGAATATGCACGCTTAACATTCAGTCCATGTTTTTGTTCTTTGATAGAAAAAACATTTCCACAATTTGTAATATATACTTTTTCGACATGCTTCATCAATTAAAATGCCTGAAAAAACCTATTCAACCACAATAATTCACGTCAGTGCTTTTCGATTTGCAAAAATACCATATTATTTACTTCTCTTGTAGATAATAATTTAAATTATTATTTATTTAAAAAATTCCTGGTTTCTGATTGGCTAACAGCCAACTGTGAAATTGTCATATAAACTAAATGGCTAACCAAATACGGATTTTTCACATTCATATTAGAAAAATGACGTCAAAGAGTCAATATGAAAAAAATTTGGACATTACTATAACGACGAGAATCATATTTTTTAAATAAAAAATAAAACAATTATTGAATTCGGTTTTCGCACAATATGAAGAATTATCAAGCCCTCAGTTTGCCGTTATCAACCTCAGCCTTCGGCTTCGGTTGATAACGGCAAACTTCGGGCTTGATAATTCTTCATATCGTGCTCAACCTCATTCAATAATTGTTAATTATTATATACCAATATAGTCAAAGTCGCATTTTTCTAGTGTTTTATTGGTCGAGAGCATATCACGTGAGAGTGACGAAATTAGACTGTCTCCCTCGTAACAGCGCGAGAGGGAAACTATACGTTATCGACCGGCGAATAACGAAAAAAAATCACGTGTGCCATCATGTGAAGATGCGACCTTTGGACATGCCTTGTAATTTAAACTTTTTCTTTAAATAACTGCAGTGTTTAATTTAACGTTTTAACAATAAAATGTTTCATGTATTTACGTTCATTTGTTCTTTAATTTGTTGTTTCTTTGACTATTGATATATAATAAAACACTTATTTACTGAGACCTCGGGAAAGCAGTGTGTTTTGTGGACCATCGACGGTCTCGGGTCCACAAAACACACTGTTTCCCTCGGTCTCAGTAGATAAGTGATAAATATATATTATCGTAAGATCCTTGTTAAAAATTCCAAAACGGTTATGCAATTGCGATTTTTCCTATGGCTTCAAGATGGCGCCATATCGGAAACGGATGGTTTATTTATATCAGAAAACTGTATAGATGGATACATGATGGATTCAACAAACTGTCAGTGAGAAATACAAGCAAACCTTCGACGTTTCGAGAAAAGGCCCTTTGTCGGGGAGTTGGTAAATTATTATTATTTTATTATTATTAAAATGCAATGTGCTTTTACACTATAGTGAATATAAAAGCATCACGTGACAAAAATAAACCAATCAGACGGATTTGGTCTTTCCAGGCCCCTAATTTTTCCTTCCCGTACGCCTATGCGAGTTGGAGCCTATCTCGGAAGAATTTGAGGGCCCTGAAATCATCCCGATGCGGAATCACAGTGTACAATGATTTGACGTCCATGGTAGACACATATAAGTTCTTTGTAC